GTAGGATTCGAAAAGGGGGTCCGCGTCATCCGTCGAAAAGACTTGAATGGCAAACGATGTGTTGTTAGGGTTAAAGATGTCATTGAGAGGGGATTTTCCTGCTATGGCTGCCTCGAGGGCCAAGGAAATGTTGTTCTTCGCGGCGAGGAATGCGCTGCTTGTCGAGAGTGCTCTCGGGGGCGGGAAAATGGGTCCCAGAAGCGGACAATAATCTGGCGATGCAGCGAAGACCCAAGGGGAAAGAAAGGCAAGCAACGCTAGCGACAAGTACATTCTGGCTTGAAAATGCTAATGATGCTCTGATTTCAGGCTTCCCGTTTGATCCAGTAGCAGAAATTGGAATCAAGGGGCATCGAGCAAGCCCCCTCAACTATATACCGGTAGTCAATTGGGTTTATTGGCTGAGCATTTCTCTGCCGTTCCTTCTCAAGCATTCCCCCGTATTGCATTGGGATTGATGGTCCGTCCGGATGCGGCACCCCATTGACTGGTCACAAGGATAGCCCCTTTGATGGGAGTCAACCTCAAGACCAGAATCTGGCATTCAGACCGTACCGCAAGGAAGGTAAAGATAGCGGTGAGAGGACCGATGCTGGGATGATGCTATCTTCATTTCTCTAGGCCTCATGCTTCTGGGTCTGATTCGATGCCTCATTGTTTGGTATCGCTGTGGTGGAAGTTACAACCGGATGATACATGTCGGAAGGTGAGTCCGTCTGAAAGCAAGAACCACTCAGCGACTGCTTTGCTTCCGCATCGGCCCTTTTTTGTAGACTCGTCACGTCGACTTCGATGACTTTGTTTATGGTCAACCCGATAGACTTTGTCTAGTCGAGGCAATCCCAGCAGATTGGGTCTGTGGTGATTGGCTCTTGGACATTGTACAGGCACGTGGCTTGGCGATGCGCATACCCAATCCAATGAGCACTAGGGACGACTCAGTTCAGCAAAGTTTATTATCGCAATTTTGTCGTATGCGCATCACTGGATGGATGCAGGAATCCCCAGAGCGGGGTGTTTTCCGCGGCATCTTATCAGGTGGGGTGTTCATGGGGGCATTTCATTCCGGGGATTGCTTCCTTGAGTGGTTAGGAGTCATCTACACTCCTTGCGGAGAGCGGAGCTCGTGATGTAATACAACAATTTATACTGGGTGAAATGGTCTTTACGCAGGGATCAAGGGCCTAGCCAAGCGGAGCATGGCATCAAGCTAACGAACCATTGGCATCAAATTACATGCCAGTCTGGTGTTGTCTACGAAGGTCTCATCTTTGGTGTCAAGCAGGCTCCGCGGAATTTGCGAGTATAGTATGCTACCGTTGTTGTCCCCATTGATCAGCTCACGGGCTACCTTTCTCCGTTTCTTCATTCTCAATAGTAGACCTCCCCGTCAGCACCAATGTCGAGCCGTTGACATCCCGCCGTAGCCGTGGGATATCAAGCTAGTGGGCAGGGGTGGCGTCAACCTCTCGACTGGTATTTGTTCCGGGCGCGGGGAGACAAAGACCGTGAGGGGATTACTATAGATTGGTTGCTTCTGGCCAGTTTTTATCAATCCTTTCGGGCCTCGTAAGGTATTTCAACGACTGTAGTGGTAGATGGGTTGTTCTTTGATAGGTTAGAGTCGTCAGCGTTCGTTTGCTTGGGCTCGAATCTGAGTCGCTAATTGATCGAATCTGTCTTTGCGTAGGCAGAAATGGTTGAGACGACGCTGCCAGGGGACAATTGCTCAGGGTGTTTGAGTGTTAGGTACGGTACAGTACCTGTGTGAAGGGAAAAGGGGACTCGGCGCCTATGACAGTGGATTCGGATCAGCAATCATAGCATCATAATTTCAAGGATACGTAAGTCAGTCTAGGACCCAGATACCCACCACCACCACCACCACCACCACCACAGAAACCAAGATGCCAATTTCCTTGGCCTGGGGCCGCAAGGAAGACGGGAGGGAATCATGGAAGAGGACCGAGGAGTCCGACAGGCTCCACAGCGGAGTAGGGGGGGATGTCAGATTGTCTCCCACTGCCAGACAGAGAGAAGGAGACTGACTCCCCTGACGGCCCGCCCCATCGGCTCGTCCAGCCGCTGCTGCTAATTTAGTGCGGGTCGCTCATTAGTAATTTAACAACATCGTCAAAACACCACCTAACTACTAAATAACTACAATGGATTCGGGCCCCTCAAAGGACTTACTTACTGCGTCGAATAAGTCTCCGGTCCGGCGGCGTGCTTCTAAGCCAAGATCCCGTACCGGATGTCGCACCTGTCGGTAAGTGACGCACATCAAGGCACTATCCAAGTGATTTGACTATCCGCTGTCGCTCGGCTGACGCATGGTCAACAGAGCGCGGCGGATCAAATGCGATGAGACGCCCGGAGCATGCCAGCGCTGTACCTCTACAGGCCGAGTCTGCGATGGATACGAGGTCCAACGACTGCCTCTTCCCCCACGCAGAAAGACAGCAACTGCTTCTCGAGTTCCTGCCCCGGTGCCGACCGGCTTCCGCTTCACAACCACCACAGATGAGATACGCTGTTTCTCGTACTTCCAACATTGTTCGATCTCTCATCTAATTGCCTCGGTCGATAACCCTCTATGGGAGAAGCTCGTGCTCCAGATGAGCTACAATGAGCCGGCCGTATACCATGCGATCGTGGCGCTGGGCTCAATTCATCAGAACCTGGAAAAGCATGGCTTGCGCTTACCCGGAAAGAAGTCTAATAGCACTCTAGAACGTTTCGCAACGGAGCAGTCCCTCAGATCGTTCTCTTTACTCACCAAGCGCCGTGCTTCACAGGATCCCGCCCTGCGACAGGTGATTCTCGTCTGCTGCTTGCTCTTCACCGTAACCGAACTGCTCTGTGGACGCCCAGAACCCGCGAGTGTGCATCTAGCAGGTGGACTGAGGATTCTCCGGGAGCTCAAAGCACAGAGGTGTGCGCTCTCGCCGTGGGAACAGCAGACCACCCTGGACACGTATCTGCATCTTCAGAGCCAGTCGTTTTTCATGATGGGCGGGCCGATTCTGACCACGGATCACGAGATAATCTATGAGAGGCCGTATGAGGACCATCGATCTACGTTCACCAGCTTCCACGAGGCCCAGCGCACATTCGCACCCGTCTTCAACGCCAGCTGCGGCTTCCACGTCATATTTTGGAAGCAAAGGCGAGGGATCCCGGTCCCCGAGTCCTACCACGCCAGCTTGCTCTCCCCGATACGCCTGCTTTCATGCTTGAATCGGTTCTTGCAACAGCTCGAATTGTTTGCCGCTGCGCCATCCACCCGCCTGAGTGCAAAGGAGAAGCGGGGTGTGCAGCTGCTGAGAGTCATCACGCATGGACAGATCGTAGGTGTCAAGAGCTGCCTCTTGCTCGGCAATGATCTCTCCTTGCAATCCCTCATGGAGGACTACGTGGACCTGCACCGAATGCTGAAAATAACATTGGACCAGATCCAGGACCGCCCGCTGATCAGCCTCGGAGTTGGTCTCACCCCCGTCTTTTTCTTCTTGGCTCAGTGTCCCGACTATGAGATCCGCTTGTGGGCTATCGATGGTCTACTGTCGTGGCCGCATTGTGGCGGCTTCTTTGACACCAAGCAGATGGCTCACCTGGTGCTCCAAGGGTTGAAGACTGAGCTGAGAGCGCTGAGAGAGAGCTGTCCACGAGGTGTGGGCGGGGCGGTGTCTTTCTTTAACAAGGAGGATGGGGCATTGTTTGCTCGAATCTTGCGCTCGGGAAAGGATGGGGCTACAGAGCGGTTGATGAGGCTTGATGAGTAGTTTCGTAGATGTCATAACTAGTCTAAGTATATGTTTGTCATGGTAGTTGTAGCGTTGCTCCATACTTAGTAGGAGTTTGATCCAGTTCATCTATTTGATCCAATCCTGCCTCCCTTTTTATCGCTCGAAGATAGAGATTTCTGCATCGCTAGCCGAGTCTTTCGATGAGGATGAGGCTACATCGTCATGCAAGGTGCAGGCTCTCAACGCTGATCCTGTCTATATGTGTACTTGTGAGCAAGTGCTAGATCTTGTTGCATGAAAGCAGCGAGCTAGTTTAATAGTATCATGGCTTCCAGATTCATCTGGCTTGTAGCTATGAGTACGCTCAAGGGTTTCGGCCGGTAGTTGAATCGATCAAAGATAGACTCTGAGCGTCACACGTAGTTCTTTTGCAACCGTAAATGTTGCCGTCTTCGTTGCTGTTCCTCTGCGTCGTATTTCGGGATTTTGTCTCTCCATCTACACAGTACCTGACTCTAAGCCTCGAGAGAGAGGTACGGCTCTCAACCGACGGGAGAATATCTCAAGAGAACCGACTACGTGGGTATAGGACTGAGCTTTGATGGTAGAATTACCATCGAATCAGTGACGATCAGTTCTACTCATCTTGCATTTCTCCCTCACTGCCTAATTCTACCTACAAATTCTCTTGAGCTGTGTAGAGCGTTTTCGAAGCGCGAGCAACAAGCGATGTCATCTCCCAGTCGAATATTGGCGGGGACGCCGATGCACCACCTCGTTCGCAGTAGGAGAACAGATGGGCGATCATTCTTCAATCATGCTTCATCGCAATCACAAGGCAAGCAGAAAGTGATCTCATAGCTCCTTCAGCTTGAAGAATCCCAGGTTTGTTCAGGCGGCCGAAGGGCAGCTTACGGTCGAGGTGCTCGGCCGTCGAGGGTGGCTGTGGTTGGACTGGAAGTTGGTTCCTGCCAGGTGCCAATTCTGCAGGATGTGATGGACAGTACAGGGGTAAAAAGTCAACCCGCGGTTGAGTTTGCTGAAATCGGTGGCAAGGTCGGCGCTTAAGGCGAGACCGCAGTCAGAAGCAAGTAACTTGTGTGACCCTCGATGGTTACTGCCGCTGCAACGGTTCAGCAACCTCTCATCATCCCCCGATCATCGCTCCCATCCTCCAACTCTTCAGGACAAACTCTGGTCTGAACGTTTCTTCCTGCGTGCATTACCTCCCTCTGACGACCTCCGTACGCGATGGGCCAACAAGCGTCCGTCCCTCAACCCGGGACACACATCCAAGTCATCGGCGCCGGCCTCTCGCGCACGGGCACCGCCTCCTTCAGCGCCGCGCTGGAGATCCTCCTGGGCGGCCCCATCTACCACGGGGGCACGCAGACCCTGATGGGCCCGCCCACGGAGATCATCTCGTGGAAGCAGATCCTCCAGAACTGGCTGTCGGGCGACCACGCCACGACGCTGGCCCTCCTGCAGACGCGCACCGCGGGCTACGCCGCCATTACCGACGCCCCGGCGTCGCAGCTCGTCCCCGAGCTCCTCGAGCTCTACCCGGACAGCAAGGTCATCTGCACCGTGCGCGACCCGGACGCCTGGGTGCGCAGCATCCAGCAGGTCAGCTCGATCGTGCGCCTGTGGTTCCTGGGCGCCGTGCTGCTCCCGCTGCCGGGCATGCGGCACTTCATGAGCTACAACTGGCTGCTGCAGGCGCAGTGGGACCGGCTCTACCGCTCGCGCGACGTCGCCTGGATCTACCAGCTGCACCTGCAGTGGCTGCGCGAGGTCGTGCCCCCCGATCGGTTGGTCTTGTTCGATGTCCGCGACGGCTGGGAGCCCCTCTGCCACGCCCTGGGCAAGGAGGTCCCCGATGTGCCCTTCCCCCGCATCAATGACGCCCAGGCCGTCGATCGCATCGCCGAGTACTACATCCGCCGAGGCCTGATGCGGTGGGCCGTCATGTTGGCCGTGGTGGGGCTAGGGGGTTACTGGTTGCTGCGAAAGTAGTCGTCACTGTGTGCCTGTAGGTTTGACGAGGTTGCATCCTGGATGTGTCCTGTCCTGTCCTGTCCTGTCCTGTCCTGTCCTGTACCCTACCACACTGTACAGTCCTCGAGCCTGGGTTGGCGTGCACCCCGGAAGTGTTTCGTTGTATTCGTATGTAGCAATCCTAGAAACCAGAAATTACGCTTTTGCTCCGGCTTACATGGCTTGCAGCCACTCCCGCGATTTGAAGTCTGCTATTTTTACGCGTGCTGGTGGAAGAGATTCCATGGTTTCGTATCAAGGGGTCCTGTCAGCACGACAGCAGCATGAAAGCAGCAGAATAACTCCGTGAAGAAAGCTTGACGGCCGAATAGAGTTCGGCCCGGGCAAAGCTTATCCCCCACATTCCTTGTAGGGAAGCTGCGGGTGTCGGCCCGTTGGTTCCATGTCCCGGATTCAGTGCCTGAACAAGCCCCTGCGTTGATCGATTCCATCCTCAGAGAGAGAGAGAAAGAGAGAGAGGGATGGAGAGAAGGGAGGAGGGGAGAGAGAGAGCGAGAGAGACAGAGACGTATGGCTCTCTCCGGGCAAAGGTATGCTTGCTGCTCCCGATTCTCTGCGATATCGCTAACATTAGTGTTGGTCAAATCTACAGATCCACCGTCGAATTCACACTGTAATCGACAGCTCACTGCCCATCCTCCCCTCGCTCGGCAGGGTAGCATCTGAACAAGTTTTCGCGTGGTCTTCACAGGAGTAACACCCGATGGCTTCATCTCGAAGTCATCAAAGCCCAAACTCTCTTGTCTGCTCTGCTCCCCTCCACCTTGCTCTGCTACCTTCGGCCGGCACCCTCCCCTGACGACCGGCCATCCAGCGGAACGCTTTCACGTCAAACTCTGGGTCCCTGAGTCTCTTGAATCTCCCCAGGCACACATCCTGACAGCGTTTTCGACGACGTCAAGTCTTGGCATTGGAGCAAAACCAGCGCGATCCCTCGCTCGAGGCCCGCGGAATCTTTCTTTCCTACACATCTCTCTCTCTCATCTCCTAGCAGCTCCTGTATCTACTTTGCCATCTTTGTGCATAGTGTGTTTAGGTAGTTTCATTTGTTGGCATATTCTTTCCTATCTTTTCTTGTCTCCTTGTGTCTCTTTCTCATCTGGTTGGCATAGTCTTATCTGTCTCATATGTTTCATTTGTTTGGCGGTTTCTTGTTTCTTTGGTTGTTTCATATGTCTCATTTCCTTACTATCTTCTTTTCCATTTTGTGTGTTTTCTATCTTTCCTATGTTGTGTATCTCCTTGTGTGTGGTTTCATTTGTTGTATCTTCTGTCTTCTACTTTCATCTATCTCATATGTCTTATTTCTTTCGTTGTTTCATATGTCTTGTTCTTCTTACTATCTTCTTCATCTTGTGTGTCTTCTTGTCATTTCTTTTCTTATTTTGTGTATCTCCTTGTGTGTGTTTTCATATGTGTGTCTTTCTAACTTCTTTCTATCTATTGTATCTCCTTGGTTGTTTCATTTGTTTCATCTGTTTTATTTCTTCATCTTCTTCATCTTCTTCATCTTCTTCATCTTCATCTTCTTCATCTTCTTCATCTTCTTCATCTTCTTCATCTTCTTCATCTTCTTCATCTTCTTCATTTCTTTCTTCATTTCTTGTAGATGCTGTATATGTTACTTTTCTTGTTTCCTTGATTTCCTTGATCTGCCTTCCTATCTTTCCTATCTATTTCATTTGTCTCATCTGGTTGATTTTTGGGAGTTAGGCGTTTTTCTCTTTTCTGCATCTTGTTTGATCTTTCCTATCTTGTCTGATCTTTTTGCCATCTTGTTTGACTTAACTTTCTTTCCTAGGCCTTGGTTGGGTGGTTGGGACGGGCCTGGGACATCAGGCAGCTGTGCTGCCTGGTGTCGATCATCTCCTTTGATCTACTTGCCATTTTCTTCATTTCTTCGCATTTCGGTGTTCTATTTTCTTGGTATCTCGTTTGATCTTTTTCTATCTTGTCTGATATTTCCGATCTTGTCTGATCTGTTCGATTTAACTTTCTTTCCTAGGCCCCGGTTGGGTGGATGGGACGGGCCTGGGACATCGGACACGCGAGTGTCTGGTGTTTGAAGTGCAGTGTCGAAAGAGACTGGTAAGTCATTTATGGTTTCCTGAAATTGAGCAATTGACTAATCGATGTGTACTGTACAGACACGATAGATTGAACAGGCCTTGGATGGGTGGACGGGACGGGCCTGGGACATCGGACATGTGGGTCTGGTGTTTTTACCTTGTGATGTACATTGTTGAGATAAAAAGATGAGTACTTCCTTCCTCAACAGGATAGACATTACTAATGGAAGGTTGGCAGATAGTCTGCCTAGGCCTTGGTAGGGCGGTTGGGTAGGGCCTGGGAACACTTAGCAGCTTAGGCTGCTAGGTGTTGTTAAGTGCAGTTTCGCAAGAAACTGGTAAGTCTTCTAACCTTGTTATCAACTACTGGCACTTGGCTAACGAATGGTTGCAGACACAGTTTGCTTGCACATGTCCTTGGACGAGTGGACGGGACGGGCCTGGGACATCGGACACGCGGGTGTCTGATGTTTTGCATAAGCTTGTGAACGCAAAGCTGGCAAGTCCCCGTTTGAGCAGCTTGAGTTTATAGATCTTGGCTGACCTGTTTCTGCATACAATACAGAACAGCGTGAACTAGCCTGGGTGGTTTGACTGGTTTTGCAAAGTCTGAGGACTTTGGACGAGCCAGTGCCATGTCTACATTTGGATCATGGCCTTGGTAAGTGCTTGGTTCTTGATCAAAAAGAGGCTAATTGGGTCTTGTTCGCAGGGGATACTTTGATTTCAGGCCGTGGGCAGGCTGGGTGGGTGGCCTGGAACTGGACACTGTAGCGTAGCTCTGTGTCCATTCGGTGAGTGATCATGATATCCTCTTCATTGAGTTGAGCTAACTTCACTTCACAGTAGTTGCCTTGGCCTCGGTTGGGTGGTTGGGACGGGTCAGGGTATTGGACACTGTAGCGTAGCTCTGTGTCCACTCGGTGAGTGATCTGTCTTGTTTATGAAACTGTGCTAACTCCTCTTGATAGTAGTTGTAGGCGGGCCTCGGTTGGGTGGATGGGACGGGCCTGGGTATTGGACACTGTAGCGTAGCTCTGTGTCTATTCGGTGAGTGATCATGACATTTTTTACATCGAGCTGAGCTAACTGTGTTCTATAGTAACGTAGACGGGCCTCGGTTGGGTGGTTGGGACGGGCCTGGGTCAAAGACACTGTAGCGTAGCTCTGTGTCGATTCGGTGAGTGCTTATCTCGTGTCTGGCTATACTGAGCTAACCTTGCTTTACAGTAGCTTCTGAACAGCCTTGGCCGGGTGGTTGGAAATGGGCTGGGATACACGACAAAGCCCATATGCGACAAAGCCCATATGCGATAATTCGTAGTTGTCTCGAGGCTATGGTTGGCGGTTGGGGCCGGAGACACGACAAAGCCCACACGCGACAACCCTAGGTCATGGCGGGCGGACGGGACGGGCCTGGGTTATGTAGGTGTAGTTTTGCACTCCCCTGGTAAGTTGGTAAGTGGACACTATTCTGACTGCACAGCATCTTCTTTGGTTTGGACTTGGCTAACTTGTCTGCAGTAGCATGTACATTGTAAAAGGCCCCGGTTGGGTGGTTGGGACGGGCCTGGGATATTTTTCACTCTCATGGAATCAGGAAGCTCGATGCTATCCTGTGCCCGTGAGTCCAGGTGTAAGTGTCTTCAGTGACTTATCCATTGGTTGACTTGGCTAATCGATACAGACGTCCTTCCTCCCCCTATTGTTTTTCCTAGGCTCGGCGGGTGGCTGGGATGGGCCTGGGACATAGACGGTGGTTTCACTGTCTATGTTTTATACTAATTCTGCTTTTCTTTTGTCTCTCCTTTGTCTTTCCTTTCTTTCCTTTCTGCGCCCCCCCCCCCCCCCCCCCCCTTTTTTTTTTTTTTTTTTTTTTTTTCTCCCTTTTTTTTTTTTTCTTTCCTCTTTCCCCCCCCCCCCCCCCCCCCCTTTTTTTTTTATAGGAGAATAGTGAGTGATCCCCTCTGGCAGGAATTAACATGTGCTATTGACTAACTGCTGTTCTAGGTGTTCAAGAAGTGACAAATAAAGCACTTTCTTTTTTGGCCTCGCGCGAGGCCTACACATCAGGTTTCCTGGTGTTGACCCTGCTGTCACTTCGAGAACAGGTAAGTGAGATTCATACTCAGTCTAATTGATGTGCACTGACACGCGTTGATGAACAGGATATATAGTTTTCTTTTCTCCTCTACGCACTCCTGTCTCCCATTCCGCTGTTCATGTACGTATGTGTATATATATGTACGGGCTGACTGAATGCGTTGGGGAAAGGGTCTGGAAGGGGCTGCGCGTGTTTGTTCTGGAGAAGTTGGGTGAATGGATGATTGGATGGGGCCTGGGTGCAAGGATCCCAGTGTCATCTGCTCAAACGACCACTTCGGCACAGCAGCCTTTTCCACGACAGAACTGGAATGGTGGGAGGTTTGGTCGCCAACACGATGTACTTGACGACGACCTCGACTTCGATGACGACGACCTCGACTTCGACGACGACAACACCCCCGACGACGACCTTGACGGTGAACTCAACGATGACAGCGACTTCCACCATGACTACAACAACACCGACCACGACAACGCCCTCACGATGCCCTCGAAAAGGCAACGAATTCGACAGGCCTCGGTTGGGTGGCAGGGACGGGCCTGGGTCCTCAACGACAACGACAACGAGGACGACGACGACGACGACGACAACAACAACAACGACAACTCCGACAACACCTCACAACAGCAACCTCACGACATCAACTTCACGACACCGACCCCATACAATATCGACATCGTGATACCGACTTCATGACCCCGACATTGCGACATTGACACTGACGACGACCTAGAAAATGCAACAGAATCGGCAGGCCTCGGTTGGGTGGTAGGGACGGGCCTGGGTCCTTGACAACGCCCTCGACGATAACACCCTAACGAAGGACTCAACTTCAACGACAATGACAAAACTCGACGACAACACGACACCATTACGACGACAACGATGACGGCAAGGCAACGAAATTGACAGGCCTCGGCTGGGTGGTAGGGACGGGCCTGGGTCGACAACGACGATGACGACACTGACCTCACAACATCGACACCGACAACAACTTCGACGATGACCGCAACCATGGCAACAACTTCGATAACGACTATATCAACCTCGACGAGCTCGACAAGGCAAAAAGAACGACAGGCCTCGGTGGGGTGGTTGGGACGGGCCTGGGATAACAGCTGTCTCATACCTCACAAAGTAAGTGTGTCTATCCTCTTGATGCAATTGGGTTCAACTAACATATCGTCATATATGATATTGGCGACGTTTTCTCTGCACTGCAACACTAGCCGAGAATAGGCAGTTTTATTTCACCAGCAGCTATATCAAGAACAACTACCCCCTGTATAGTGTTGACAAAACACAACTCAACAAAGGCTGCTTGACTACAGCTCATATAGCAAAGCTGCGCTGATCACAATCACCTTATCACAGAGGCCTTAGCTGGGTGGTTGGAATAGGCCTGGAGCATTTAAAACTAGCTTCTACAATCTTCGAGAACAACTATCTTCGACAGCATCTTCTCGAACAGCAACCTTCTCTACAACGACTTTGTCAGAAGCAATCTCCTACAGAGTAAGCTCCTCGACAGCAACTTCCTCAACAAAACTTCTTTCATCACAGGCCTCGGTTGGGTGGTTGGGACGGGCCTGGGGCATGTACAACGTACAACCTTACCTTTCACCAACTTAGACGACTCATCTCGACAGCATCCTCCTCGACAGTAACCTCCTCCACAGCAACCTCCTCCACAACAACTACTTCCACAGCAGCCTCCTCCACAGAAACTTCCTCCACAACAACTTCCTCGACAGCAACTTCCTCGACAGCACCTCCTCGACAGCGTCCTCCTCCACATTGACCTCCTCAACAACACTTCCTTTAACATAGGCCTCGGTTGGGCGGCTGGGACGGGCCTGGGTCATTGATGATACCATCATCAATGACATTCCACATCAGTACTGCAGCAAATCATGGTAAGTCAAGGACAACCCCTCAATCACTTGACTGTATAAACCATGACATCCTGACGCAATGCTCCAGACAACGCTGCATCCCTCACATCCCACTCTCGATACGAGGACTGAAGTGTCGGGAGAGTGCAAGTTGGCATTACGCTGAACCGCAACGAGGGAGACTCTTCTGTATAGCCGTGACTTGGCAGGCTGGATGCAGTGCCTATTCTATGAGTGTCTGAGCCAGTGGAGGTGTGTGGTGAGGATGTCCTGTTTGCAGGATAGGTTTTATGGTGTACGGGGAACACCCTTCCTTGAACCTGTGCGGTGTATGGGGATCTCTGTGGCTTGGTTGGGAATGTGTCGAGGATTGTGGATTACGAGGAGACGACGTTTGTGCAGCTTGTCTGTATGCGGAGTCGGATTATGGTTCGTGAGGAGTGAGAGATGCATGTCATGGAAGATGGCCTGTATTATAGGATTTCATCTTAAGAAAGGTTCATCGGTTTGATCCAAGAAGAGGCATCTATTTTTACAGGCGGAGGCTATGAGTAGTCTAAGCTTGCTGTCTACAGAACCTGCTAAGCTGACATGGGTGCGCAGTTTTATTTCAACGGGTGCTTAAAAGCATCAAGTATAAGCACATAAGATTATGTCATTTCATATCATATAATCATGAGAAAGCCCACATGAGCTGTGAGTTCAAGCAAGTAGTGTTTAAATAGGCTCCAGGCCCGCAGAGGAGTGGTTCATTACAAAGCATAGACAAGATCATGGTTCTCCCAATCCGTGAGGTCCATCCACCTTGCACCAAAAGTCAGCCCGCTATACAAAGGAAGAAACAGAGTGATCACAAGCAAGGAAGGGTGAAGGACTTACTCCTGGTTCTCCAACCGGGTATACTCCGGACTCGAGCGGATGCGAGCCTTCTTCTCGTTTTGTCGGCGGTACCACCACCAGATCAGTCCGAGGATCATCATCGACACCCCGTAGCAGACGATGATGGTGATTTCGGCGGGGACGTAGCGAGGGGCGTCCTGCGGGCGGAAGACTTGGGGGCCTGTTTATCCTTTAGCTATCGGGTCGAGGTTGGAAGAGTAACCCTCCACTCTGAACAGATAGTGGTACTGAAGAAAACACATACCGATGATATTTCCCGCGCAGTACCCGATGAGATAGATCGCTGCGACGGTTGTCTTCTTGGTGTACCCGGCGACGTTGGAGGAGATCATGGCCAGCAGGGCCACAAACGAGGTGGCGCTGGCTTGGGTCAGGTAGTAGCCGATCAGTCGGCCGACGTTGTTGGAGAGTGGTAAGGCGACGATGAGAATCATCCCCAGGATACCGGAGACGAGACCGCCGGCGCTGCAGAGGAGGCGTTGGTTGGTGTATTGGCCCAGAAAGCCGCTGCCGATGAGGGAGAGGATCTCCACGACGCCGCCGGGCGTGCCGTAGAGAAGAGATTGTTCCGCAGTGTAGCCGAAGGAGGTTATCTGTTGCCTTGCGTGGTTAGTGGGTGCGGTGGTGGTGGAGACAGACTGAACGACCCAAAGGATGGCAACGTACCAGCTGACTGAAGAAATTGGTGATTCCGCCGTTGGGGATATCTGCGATGAGAGCGTAGAAGAAGAACGCCCACGTCATCGGGTCGATCAGGGCTTCCTTGACTTGGTGGAGCTTGAAATGCTTGTTTCCGATACCTTGCTGGTTGACGCGAACGCGGGCCACGGCCAGAATGCGGTCTTCCTTGGTGAGCCAGCGTGCGTTGAGCTGGCTGTCGGGGACCACCCAGTAGAAGATAACTCCAAGGAGGACGGTCAGGAGGCCCGTCACGAGGAAGACGATCTTCCAGGGAGCAATGGCGGAGCCGTGCTTCTCGGTGCCGACGGCGATACCGTAGGCGACGAAGCCGCCGAGGATCTGTGCGAAACCATTGAAGCTGAACCAGATGTTGACGCGGCTGCCTTGTTCCGATTTGGTGTACCACTATTCAATGTATCCATGTTAGAGCTGGGGTAGGGAGAACTAGTGTGGTATATTTCGGGTCCACTCACCTGAGAGGTTAGCAGAGCAAAGCCTGGGGTGACAGAGGCTTCGAAGACGCCGAGGAAGAAGCTACATGCACGTCAGGAAAGTCGAATGAGATAGTGGCAGGGTTGTCCTACCGAATGGCAACAGCTCCAGAGAAGTTCGACACTGCAGCGAAGCAACACAGGATAGCTCCCCAGATGATGATGCACACGGCGGAGTACTTCCCCAAAGGAAGTCTCTGCAGAAGTCTATTGGTGGGGTATTCCCATGCCAGATAGCCTGGTTGATGAACTATTAGTCTTCTTGTTGCGTCTCTGCACATGATAATACGCACCAAAGTAAAATAGACTGCCTAGCCATTGATAGTCATCGCCTTGCAGGTTGATGTCGGTCTTGATGCCCATGATACTGGCGTAAGATAGGGTTGTTTCTAGAACGTGTCAACAACATGCTACCGCATTGAACCGCATGGAATCACTCACTGTCGAGGAAGTTCATGCCATAGACAAAACACATGATCGGCATAATGTGCCAATCGATTCTGCGCAAGAGTCGCTTGTTCGTGACCTCGTCGAGTTCGATCACCTCTCCCTGGAGATCCTGAAAGACGCCCAGCGCCTCATCTGCATCCTGCGCATGTTGGAGGAGGACTGGGTCCACGGCCTTAGTGGTATCTTTCTCATCTACCATTGTATGCGACTGGGCTTTCTCGTCCCCCATATCGACTGCCACCGAGAGGGCAAAGATAGAGACTGGAAGAATGTGTCAAAGTAATAGAGATGTGCCGGATTGAAAGACAGGTGTGACGGGTGAGGGACAGGAAGCAGGGGGGGATTGCGGAGATTGAACCAGAGAGACTTGATGGGCTTTATGACTGTCCTGTGAGATGTCATGGTGCAGCCGGATCGGCAGTGGAATTCACAACTGGCTTTCTTGGGAGAGATGGGGTTGCATGAGCGCTCATAGTCTCATAGTCCCATAGTCAGAGATAAGACGCTAGTTGTTTGGCTGTTATCTGGTTTATCTGGGGTAGACGGCTTATCGACCGAATCAGGCGGGTTGGATCCCCGTTAGCTGCATGCAGTAGTTGGAGTACTAAATGATAGTGCCATCCAGTCAGATAAGAATGAGGGGGAAACACGTTGGAGAGAGGAGAGAGGAGAGGGGGTGAAGGAGGATGTTGAGGTTCGAAGAGGACTTGCCACTCGTCCATTGGAGAGATTAGCCGAGTGACTCGAGGCTGGACATGATGCTGCTAGCTTGTTTTCGACTGAGAATGGCGAGGGACAAATCATGCTGGAGCTTATCATGCGACGTCATGAGGCGAGAAGAGGAGAAGAGGAGAAGAGGAGGAGAGGAGGAGAGGAGGAGGAGAAGGAAGGAAAGTCCCTAAACAACATCCTGCAAGCGCGGAACAGTCACTCACTCGTTCCGCATCGGATTCCAGATCTGGAGGCCGGCGCTTTGCACCCTCCACTCAAAATTAACAGCATGGCCATATTGGGAGATAACAATCTTGGCTGGAGGAAAGTATATGCTGAATTATGCTAGGATATCCACAGACCCCTCATCTGCCCGCCTCCACAGTCCTCTAAGGTAGAGGCTGGATTTCAGGTCTTATCTCTTTCAGTCTAGATTAGGTTATCATCTCCCCTGTTATCAATCACAAAACCCACGGCCTGAATGACAAGATGGCAAGATGGCTGACTCAAGGGATCTTATCTTCCTGCAGGATCGATACCCCCTCGTCATTACCCGAGCTTGGATGCTTAAAGCAAATTGGTCGTAACATGGCATTATGTTGCTAATCCTGTACATTGTCTAAAATTAACACCCCTTTTAGTTGCCGCCAACACGGGCCTGGTACGCCTCCCAACCCTCCTTCTGGTACTGCTGCGCCGCCTGCACCGGGTCGGCCGCGGCATAGATCCCGCGACCGGCGATAATGAAGTCGGCTCCGCGACCAATGGCGGACGCGGGGGTCTGGTACTGCTGGCCGAGCTTATCGCCCTTGGAGGAGATGTTGACGCCCGTCGTGAACACGACGAAGTCCTCCTCGTCTGAGGCGGAGCTCACCTTGGACTGCACCTCGCCCAGCGCCCGCGTCGACACGAATCCCATGACGAACTTCTGGTACTTGCGCGCGTAGTCCACCGAGGCGGTGGTGTACTGGCCCGTGGCGAGGGAGCCCTTGGAGGTCATCTCGGCCAGGATCAGGAGGCCGCGGTCGGCGCCGTACTCGAAGTCGTCGGCCGCGACGGTCTGGGCCAGGGCCTCCACGATGCCCTCACCGGGCAGGATGCTGCAGTTGATGATGTGGGCCCACTCCGAGATCCGGAGGGTGCCCTTGTGGTACTGCTTCTGGACGGTGTTGCCGATGTCGATGAATTTGCGGTCCTCGAAGATCAGGAAGTTGTGCTTCTCGGACAGCGCCTTGAGGCCCTCGATCGTCTCGTTGCTGAAGTCCGAGAGGATGTCGATGTGCGTCTTGATCACGGCGATATACGGTCCCAGACCTATGTAAGTTTCTCGGGGTCAATTCCGGATCATGGGGAGAGGATAAGTTTTCAGGGCTCGGCGGGCCTACGGTCAGCGAGATCCAGGAGCTCCTTGGTCGTGGTCACGTCGGCGGAGACGGTCACGTTGGTCTTCTTGGCCTCGGCAATCTCGAAGAGGCGCTTGGCCAGAGGGTTGGTGTGCTTGCTGGCACGAGCAGTGTAGGTCAATTGCGACTTGGAAGACATGGCGGGGTTTTGCGGGGTGGTAGCGGATGACAATTGTACGGTGTCGGGTGGGATTTGGAGCTTTTTTCTGGGATTGGCTGATAAGGAATGATATTGTATACAAAGAGGCTTTCTGTATCGATCAAACAATTTAGCTCAATGGCGGGGTATAGACGAAAAGCAAACCTGCGGAAGGAAATGCGATAGACGATAAAATCATACCCAGAGATTCCCCTCCATCCCGCACCAGCCACATCGGCTTCCAGATTGCTCCACCTCCGACCGTGGGGTCAGCCACACTGAGGTGCCGAATGCCGAGGCTGCCGCCCTGAGAGCTTCTCCGCCGAGCTTTAATGCAGACAGCTGCTGCTAAGCCTAGTATCTCAAGATGCTGAACACAAGCTATCATTTCCAGAGACTGCGACCTGCTAACCATTGCGATTGTAACTTGCACACTTACCCTGACCCCCTTAGTGAACACCAATCCCTCAGCAGCCAGTCCTCACTCCTATCATCAGTCTTCACCCAGAGCTTCAACATCCAAAATTACTCAGATAAACTGTACAAACCTAACAGATTCCCTCGCGAATATTAACTACCTAGTATACTAGTACACAGGACGATCAACCCATCCTCATCCCCCTCCCCTAACCTCACCGACTCCATCCAGAAGACAACCCGCGCACCCGTCTAGAACAACTCCTTCGCGACGCCAAAAACTGTCAACCACCACAACGCCCCCTGCACCAACCAGAACAGGCCCCCCCGGTACCGACCCTTACCCTCCGACTTGCCCGAGTACACGTATCCGTGCAGGAACAGCGCCCGCAAGACCACCCACGCCGCGCCCAGGCCCGCCGCCAGCTGCGGGTACTTCAGCCCGGCCACCAACGTGAAGAGCATGGTCTGGGAGGAGTTCTCCAGGAAATTGGCGTGCGCGCGCTGGGCGCAGTTGAATTGCTCGGCTTTGGGCTGTTTTCGAGTCCTTGTCAGTAACTCCGCGCGATTGATGCCTGGGTTTGGGGGGCAGCGGGGAGAGAACGACGGGAATGAGGCAAGGAAACACTCACATCAGCCTTGCATTGCTCGACGGTCGCGTAGGTGTGGGGATAGGGGATTTGGGCCTTCTTTCGGGTGCTGCCCGTTACGATGCCGTGGACGAACCCCAGCACGGGGATGGCGCCCAGCGCGACGGCGATGACGGCGCTGTGTAACAGATGCAAACGTTAGTCCAGGTGCAGGGGTAGATAAGATAATCGAAGTGACCTACCCGTAGCCCTCGGGAACAGTCAAGGTGAACATTATGGGGAAGTATAGAAGTGATTTGGGTAGAGTGCAAATTGGTTGGTTGGAGATGGTGAAATTGTTTAGTGATATTACTCGTGTGGCTGATGAAGCCAGATTTGCCGTGGTTTTGTATGGATCCCGGCCGGATACGGATCTTGAGCTTTCCCTGCGGACCCTCGCACAGCCGGGGTTCCGTGCTGGAATTCCTCCCACCACTTCTTAGTCAAGTCTACGCGTCTTGCTGCCTGCGGATCGGTAAGCAGTCACGATGCTTCTAGGAGGTTCTCTTCCAGCTATGGTTGACGTGTCGCTTTGTTGCTTCTTGCGTTGATTCTATTCATTGGAAATTGCAGAGGCACTCAAGCCATCCCTAGCCCGTTTACTGCCCTTGAAGCTACTGAAGTATTGGAGGAAAACAATGCTCTACACTCCCATTTTGCTCACACTGCCATATTTCGCTTGCCAGGCAAAGAAATATAACAGCGCTCCCAGAGGTTGACCGACTAGGCAGAAACTAACCCAGAAGATCGAGTTTCCTATCACCCTGCCTGATGGGTCCTGGATCTTTTCTAACGGGGCCGTGATCGCAATCAGCGGCAATTGGAACATCATCCCCGCAAAGGCGACTCCTGCGTTTGATCAGAATCCATGGAAAGAAAACTGCAGATTGTCTTGCTTACCAATCAGATTATGTGTCGGAATACCAACCAGCATCTCGTGGAGAACAGCGGAGACCAGAAACACAACAGTACTCGCCGCGAGCGGACTCCACCCTCGTCCGACGAGTGGGGAGAAAACGTGTCGCTTCATGAAAAGATACACAGGCCGATTCCACGACCGCCAGTACCCTCCGAGGCTGGAGCTGTTCCACCAGTCGGTATAGAATTCACGGTCACCGAAGCGCAGGACCTCGGCTAGCGCATTCAACAGCGACTGAAATACAGCGAAAAACCCGGCTAGCCAGATCACAAGGGAAATGGTGGATAATTTCATCACCCGCTCTAGGATCGACGCAACATCCATCACAGCGATTTTGTCGATGGAATTCCGGAGAACGGGTGCCGCATATTGAGCGGAGAGAAGCCAGATGAATACAGTCAGGCAAAAGAACTCGAACAAACGCTTCGCCACAAAGGACCATCGAATGTGTGATGACCTCGGATAAACGGGCTGGTAAACTAGAGTAGGGGCCAACCAGAAGTAGATGAGGTTTCCGAGAGTGATGTTGCGGGGGTACGGGCAGGACGAGTAGATCTCCGGGAGTGCCGACTCCATAGATGGGTTGAGCATTGCCTCGCGCAAGTCGCGATTGGTGAAGGCATACGAGCAGATCTTGAACGAGACGATGAGGGCCTGCAGCTCACACAAAGTGCCAATTCCAGGGTGATGGATGTAGAAGTACACGACGAAACTGGTGACCCCAAGACTCAATAGAGTGTTAATGCAATGGAAAAAAGCAGAAAGCCACCAGGTAAGCCGGAAAGTCCGCTGATCGCGCTCAGCTGCCTCCGCGGAACCATTCTTCTTTCTTTGGCCGACGACCTGCTTGGCCTGCTTCGACGCAGTCAACTCAATGAGATAGGAGATGAAAAGATGATATGGTACGAGGGCAAAGAGGATCGATCCTAAGACCACGTCCTGTTTGCGGTAGTCATGGCATTTGATGCAGATAAGAACGCCATACTACCCGGCGCCGTTAGCCTCGGCATCTCAGTTGCCTCCACATGACAGAGCATTTTACCTTCATGAAGTTCTCGATGATGAGTCGAAGGTTCATCGCCACTGAAGAAAACATAAGTATATTCCAAGCAGCAGCGCTTTTAGCAAGACTGGCCAGGTCAATCTCACCTAGGACGATCACCATCAGATTGCGGAAGCCGAGGAAACTCGCCGTCACATTGGGTTCGCGCGTGAGACTGGAATGACGCACTTTGGCGTGATATGCTGCTACATGTCGATATCTGCTTCTCTTCTTCTCCTTCTTGACACCAATTGGGCCCTCTGCGCCATTTGCGCCAGTTGTAAATGTCTTTCGGTTTGTGGTCGCGGACGACGAAAGAATGTCGTCACTGCCGGTGCTCACAGCACCTGTCGCGTCGGAGATCTTTTCGGCGGAATGCATGGATGAAATCGTGTTGACAAGTTCAAACCCCTAACTCATCCAGTAAGCTCGCATCCCAGCTTGGAGGGAGGCTGGGTGATGGCTGTCCCAGGAGGTGGTTCGCTCGGACAAAGAACTCGTAACGGTCAAAGACAAGGGCGGAGATACAAAGCGGGACGCAGGACGAGGGATCCCACCTGAGTTTAGACACTCAAAGATCATGACAGGAAACACTGGAGAGAAGAGGGGGGAAGATAGGGATTAATTATAGAGCAGTGGGGAGGGGGGAGGAGAGGAAAGGGACCAATTCTGTGGAAAGTGGAAAGACCCGAAGCAGCGCGGCGGGGTTTCAGTAATAGTTCTAGGTCCAGTAGGTTATTTGGGGCAGCTTTTTTAGTTCGTTGCAAAAAGACCGTTATTCTAGCTGCTTGATCTGACAGGGCAACGTGCTGCAAGCCTGCAACCTTGGGCTACAGAGTTAGGAAGGAGACCGGGGGGTTCAGGTCGGTCTGATTCCAAGAAAGCTACAAGAGCCTGCAGTTACTAGGTAACTGCTAATCACTACGTAGTAGGTAACAGTAACAGTACAGTACTTCTGCTCCTGTTCTGGCCAGTTGCCCTCCTCGATTCCCTTTCCCCGGCCAATGATGCTTTCTGCCGCGCCGCCGCCCCCTCCCCCCCGAAGTTAGTTTAGTTCGTTCATAGGTATTCACCGTCCAACTCCTCCAAACTGCTCCAATGCCAGTCAGCCCGGAGGACAAACACTAAATCTCCCTTCTTTATTACGAACAATTAATTAAGGCTACTGCATGCACGACATGTTGGGACGTTTCTAGCTGGGATCTTACCACTTTGGTTGAGGTCTGGCTTCCTGCGCGTCTTCGTATTCGGCCTTCTTTCATGCTTGCGACTGTCTCGCCCATCTTTCCGTCATCCTCTTTCCCTGCCTTACACTTTCCCCAACGATCCCTAGCTCCGATTATCTCGACCTCTCCACGCACGGCGTTGCGATGGCTTACTACGATGACTCTGCTGGGGACTCCCAGCCCTTTGGAAGACCTCCCAAATCCTACGAAGGCAACATTGTGGGACCGCGACGACCAAGTACGTTTTGATTTTCTCATCCGTTGCCCGTCGCGAAGGTCTCGTTAACCGCTACCCAATTTTAGGACTGGTAACCGACTATGGCTCTTCGCTGGTACAATGGATGCGCACACGACAGCCTCGGTACAAGGGGGGCCATCGCATGGAGGTTGAAAGACCCAGTGCGAGCTATGTGATCGATGTGAGTCGCAATCTTCCAGCAGGTTTGAGATCAATCAACTAATATGCTCGCGGTTTCTTTGTCTCTAGATGCTGCCACCATTAGCACGAATCCACAACCCCGCTGACACAATTCCCGTCCGACACTTGCACCAATCTATTGGAAAGTCCAAGAAGCCGATCACAGTTGTAAGATGGACGCCCGAGGGAAGGCGTCTGTTGACGGGTGGGCACACCGGAGAATTCATGCTGTGGAACGGAACTGCGTTTAACTTCGAAACGGTCATGGACGTGCGTATTGCCGGTCGCTTATCATACGCGGTCTCCAATTTCAAAATTTGCTGATGGGGATGTACAGGCGCATTATGACCAATTACAAGCGGGCGTTACCTCGCTGGCGTGGTCTCACAGCCATGACTGGCTGATCTCGGGTGGGCAGAAGGGCGATGTGAAGTATTGGCGGCCCAATTTCAACAACGTCGAGACGATTGACGATGCACACCACGATGCCGTACGAGATTTGGCGTGGTCTCCAAGCGACACCAAGTTCCTTTCGGCCTCCGACGATACCACCCTCAAGATCTTCGACTTCACCGCAAGGACTTGCGATACTGTCCTGACAGGACACAATTGGGACGTTAAGTCATGCGATTGGCACCCTACCAAAGGACTTCTTGTTTCCGGCTCCAAAGATCACCAGGTCAAGTTCTGGGATCCTCGAACGACAAGATGTTTGACAACCCTTCATAGCCACAAAAACACGGTCACAACGACACGCTTTTCGCGCGTCAATAGCAATCTGCTTGCCACTTCGTCGCGTGACCAGACGGCAAGAGTTTTTGACTTGCGAATGATGCGCGATATTTGCATCTTGCGAGGTCATGAAAAACCAATCTCCTCTCTCACATGGCATCCCGTTCACAGTTCCCTCATCTCCACGGGCAGCGAGGACGGCTCATTGTATCATTACCTACTCGACGAGCCTAACCTGCCATCTGGTCAAATTCCTACGATTGCTCCGTACGACAGCCCGGACCCCGCAAACACACCTGCACAAGTCATATACCCCGCTCATCGGGTACAGTACGCACACGGGGCCACTATCTGGTCACTCGATTGGCACCCGCTTGGTCACATTCTTGCCTCGGGTTCGAAGGATAATTTCACCCGGTTCTGGTCTCGGGCTAGGCCCGGAGAAACTAGTTACATGAAAGACAGATTCCATATCGGAGAAGAGGCGGCGGAGGCTCAAGGAACATGGAGTCGCGGGTTTGGGAGACGACAGATGCGTGAGGAGGAGGAGCAAGAGCTGCAGGATGAGGCCGAGGGTCTGGTTGATCAGAAGAAAACTTCTGGACCCCCCGGCCTACCCGGGATCCAGGCGCAACCCGGCGGTGTACCTCTGCAGGATGGTTTCGGTTCATTATTGCCAGGAATCGGCGCTCCTCAACCTCTACCGCAGCCTGGCTATCCTGCGTCGATGCCTCCGATGGACCCTAACCGTCTGGCACAATATCTATCTAGCCAGCCACCGCCCCCGCCGAATAACTACCCCCCAACGACAGGCTTCCCCGGCTTCCCCGGCTACCCGATGCACCCAGCCATGTCGGGGCCTCCACCATCAAACGCCGACCTTGCGGAGCTTCAGAAGCAGCTTATGTCCCAAGGTATCCCCTTACCACCAAACTTCCCTCCACCGAACCATGGCGGCATGCCTGGAGGTCTACCCGGACTGGGTGGTGGAGGTGCCCCCGACAATGGGTACGGAAGATAGCTCTCCTGGATTGCTGAATATATGTTGTCCTAGAGTTCTGCCACCATATATGTTGGTGATTCGCCATGTGACATGCACACATGTTAGGTAATGCCTTAGCCTGTAGTCCTCCAGGAACAGGCTGTACTCCGATACATCTTTAGGCATAAATTGCATGCCTTGAACCCTGGCCTGCAAGGGGACCGGGCATGTCTGTACTTGAATGAGCATCATGAATGGATCTTGACCTTCGATCTGTTCTCTTCATAGACCACCTGGCATCGGGAAACTCGATAGAATGAGGACCAGAACATTAATACCACCCCATAGAAGGGGGATCCACGTGGACATTCTGAAATTGCCTGCCTCGTAGACAGCACCGAGACTGTTCCATGTTTAGTAAAAGTATTCGGCAGCGAAAACATGGACTTATGTACACTCACACTAGACCAACGATACTCCCAGCTAGGAGCGCCTCTATGCCCCCAATTGCTAGATAGAATGCGGGCACAGCTAGGCAGGCCTTCCAACTTCGACATTGCATTGCCACCGCCCATGCTGCAACTAAGAGATGACTACCTCCATAGAAGATAAAAGTCCAGTAGAAAGTAAATCGCCAGATGTCCCGTGTGTAGTAGAGGTAGTTAGCTCGGGACTCGCTCGCAGGTAGTAGCTCATAGAGGGAGGGGAATGTCGGCGTCTGGTAGTTGATCGGAACACGATTGTTGGCCATCTGATCACAAGGCAGATATTCTTGCTCTCACAAATTGAAAGGACCTAAAGGAACTATACAGCTTGTTGATCAGATGACGAAACCATAATAGCAGCTAGATGTTAGACTGCATCCACATGGAACGGGGTTAAAGGAGAAAGAGGGAGCAACTGATAAGATCCGCAACGGCCGATGATGGCTGCAAGCTTGTTTGCACCGTTTGTTACAGACTGTGGTGGAAGTACCCACTTTTAACCTCGGCAGGTGATCTGGGGTTCTCCGCGGTAACATCGCCGCGGCCTCTTCCGTCTTATCTCTCCCTCTCATCCTAAGGACGTCCTCTTCAGCAGCTCATGTCCCTATTGTCGGACACAACTGTAATCTCCAGCCCCCAAGATGGCAACAGAGCGCTCCTTGGGTGCTCTTTTGCGGTCGCTTCAGACCTCGTCGGATTTGCATGATGTCCTCGCGTAAGTCAAACTGCATTCGGCCATGGCCCCATAACATCCACTGACTGCCTTATCTGTCAGCTTGCTTCCGACGGCAACGAGCCTCTTATATGTGCTCGGAAACCCATTGAATATCACCCTGCTTGCATCACATCTGCTAGCCGCCCCCGCCTTGTGGCATGGTCCTGTCGATCTCCTTGCATGTCGAAAGATCCTCAGCGTCTTCAACACTGCCGCCATCGCACTTCTGCAGAAGGAAGAATCGGATGATCCCAGAGTCTCGTACACGAAACCTCGGAAAATTGAACGCGAAGATTGGGTCAAGGCGGTAGTCAACGGAGCAGACGACAAGTCGCCGCGATGGCGACATGTTATTCTGATTGGCGGGGTCCTCCTGGGCTTCGAAGGCCAAAACAGACAGGGCTTACCATCGCACGTCCGGAGGAAGCTTGAATCGGCACTCGTGACGGCCGCCCAATTTGCACTCGAGGAGTTGGATCCCCAGAACGAGGTTGATGGTCGGTGCATCACCATGGTACTGAACTATACCTTCGAGCTCATATCCGACTACGAGAAGAGTAGGCTGGACTACGATCGCCTGTTGCCCGTCATGGTCAATGCGACGTTCGCATCGCCGGAAGGCCTTGAAGGAGGGTACTTTCTTGGGACCGTTGACAAGGATGTTGTTGAGGCGCCTGGGAAACGGTTTCGGTGGTCACCACAGTCCGATACATTTCTTCGCGTGACGACAATTTCATCGAGTCCGCTCGTGTCTGCCTTGGGTCCTCTGTCCCGACTCATTGCCCACGCGGTTGAGAACGTTCAAGATCCAGGACTAGTAGCGCGATGCATGGATCAGGTCACAGACTTTGTGCGGACGTTGATGGTTCAGTGGCGTCAGAACAAACTGTCGGAAGTCGACCGGGCTGAAGAGGCGGAATTCCTGGATCCGGAGTCGCTAAGGAGCACAATTCCGGGGCTCTGGAAGCTGCTTCGCAATTGCTTGTATTCAATCGTGATTGTTCTTCGGGCAGTCCTGGGGAGAGTCCTCAATGACCATATACTGGCTGCTCATCAAAGTGAGTGGCTCGGTTGGAATCTCGTACTGAATCTCAATACTAACCTCTGCTAGGTGCGCCGTACCTGTCCATGCAAGCTCTGCACATACTTCGCAACCTCTATTTCATCTCGTCTCGCATTGGTCAGAATGCTTCATCGCAGCATGTGTTTGTGACCTTGACCGCGGTGGATATCCTTGCGCAATACCCTGACTTGAGCGAGAATTTCCTCCGAAGCATCAAACCCAGCGAGCTGGGTCAAATCCCTGCCCATCCGGTTGAAAGATGCTTGGATCTCTTCTTCCTCAATACATCCGAGCTGTTTACTCCCGTCTTGTCGTCCACATTCAGCGAGGAGTTGCTCATCGCTGCTGCGACGCCGTATCTTCCGGCCGGCGGCAACAACCATCTTCTTGAGATTTTCGAAGCCGCCCACAGCGTGGTCTTGGCTGTTTTCGCCATCCCCGGCCACGCGGCCATTGCAGCCAAACACCTACCCTTCTACATCGACAATCTTTTTGCCGTGAGTCATGCCGTCTCTGCTGCTGGTACGATAATCCACTAACTCACTGCCCATAGGTATTCCCCGACAACCTCTCCGCCCGTCAATTCCGGCTCGCCTTCAAGACCGTCATCCAAGTCACGGCACCACCTTCCCCCATCGCCAACAGCCAGCCCCTCCTCCCTTCCGTCCTGTTGGAGGTCCTCTACGACCGAGCCCTGCACGCCACCTCCGACAAACTCCTCCCGCAGCCGGCGCCCGGCGACGACGAAGGGGGCCCCGAGCTAACCCCTCCACCGCCCGTGACCGAGCAGGCAGCCCTCGCGCTGGCTCTGATCGATAGCCTCTGCTTCCTGCACGTGGACGAGCTGGAGGACTGGCTTCCGCTCACGGCGCAGCTGCTGACGTCGATCCGCGCGCCGGCCATGCACAAGCTCTGCGTGGAGCGGTTCTGGGAGGCCCTGAGCAACGGCGAGATGGACGTGGAGCGCGCGCATTTCTGCGTGACGTGGTGGAGCACGCGGGGCGGGCGGGAGATGGTGCTGTATGGGGCTGACATGAGTGGTTCGGGGACTGCGGCTGTGGAGGGAGAGATAGAGGGGGAGGCGGGGGCCGAGGCTGAAGGGCTGTTCATGATGAGTGGTGCCCTAGGGAGTGTGGCGAGGGAGAGTAAACTCTGAGCTGCCGCGTTGCCACGTTTTGTATATAAGCAAGGGAGGTGGGATGCATGCATGCTGACGATTGCTGTGCGATGAGCGCGAGGGCGTTTGGAGTTGCTTTTGCTGGGTGCTTTACTCTGGGATATTTGATACCACTCACGCGACTGCTGCACATAACTGTGAATACATTGCTGGCCCTAAGTTGATGTCTCATTGATATTGTAGATCTTTTGGTATATGATTAGAATGTACAGTACAGTGCGTATTGGATCTCAAAATAATGAACGGGAAATGACAGATATCACACAACCCGACTCCCATATCTACTACGCCCGCATATTCCCAATATACAGCCAGTTTCCTGTTTTCTCAATTTTCCAAAAGAAACAGGGTGCAACTCCTTGAATTCAAACAAAGGGAATCCCCACCCAGCTTCTCTTCCTATACTCCCGATACTGATCCCCAAAGAAAGCACAGAGGTAGTTTTCTTCTCCTGGACAAAACAAACAGGTTAGCCTAACCCAACGCCAGGAAAGAAGACCGATTCCCAACAGGAAACGATTCAATGGGGTTTTAGAGGAAAAGGGAGGGAGACGTACTCCGCACGCGCAGCCGGAAGAACCGCCACAGGACGAGGGCATACGCGACGAGGCAGGCGACGTTGCCCAGGACGAGCTGGGTGCCGATGCCCCACCAGAAGAAGCCGAAGTAGGCGGGGTGGCGCAGGACGCGGTAGACGCCGTGGGTGATCAGGCGGTGGTCGTCACGGCGGGCGACCTGCACGGTGTGGTTGAAGCTGTTGCCGGCCTGAGCCATGGCGACGGAGCGGACGGTCTGGCCGAGGAGCATGAGGCCGAGGCCGAGGCAGATGGGGAGGTTGAGTTCGAGGCGGTATTCCTGGAAGGTGTCCGTACGTTCGAAGGCGAAGATCCGGGACAGCCCCGGGTGCTGGTGGTAGTGGTAGGTGGCCCCCGCCGGGGCCAGGGTGTTAGTGAGCAGGCATTCGAGGATCGCGGACCCGTGCGCGACGTTGTAGGCCCAGCCGTTCGAGCTCAGGAGGAAGGCGGTGGTGTCGGCGAAGCGCGGGTTGTAGGTTGCTGTCGTGTAGTACTCCAGGAAGTGGAAGAGGCTGAGGCTTGCGAGGAAGAAGGGGAGGCGCCAGAGTGGAGTTGTGGTTGTTAGGAGGAGGTGCAGGGTTAGGCTTGTGGTGAGGCCGAGGGTGGTGCCCAGCAAGAAGGCGCGGAGTGAGATTCCGGAGAGCGATTTCGTGCCGGTGGGGAGGTTGGAGGGGTCGAGGGGCGGTGTTGGTGGTGAGGGGGATGCGGATGCGCGTGCGGATGCGGATGCGGAGGGGGTCGGCGGGTGCGAGGAGGGTTGGTAGGCGCGGTATTGAGGGGTTGTGAGGGAGATCGGGGTTGTGGTGGCTGGTGGAGTGCTGCTCATTTTGACGTTCAGGAGGGGGGGTCTGGTGGTTGTTGTTGTTGTAAGCTGGGTATGGTGTTTAGTGGTGGTGGTGGTGGTGGTAATGTCGGTGATGCATCGCTTTAGGGGGTGATGCGGGGGTTTTGTTATGGTTTTGCTAGTGTCTGCGCATGGTTTGAGAGAGAGACGTGTGCATGAACGAGCGGACGGCTGAAAGCGAGCGAGAACAATCGCAGCGCAGCGGGCGTGGAGGACAACAACGATTGTTGTTGTTGTTGATGCTTCGTTTCCCTCCCACGGGACTTTACCTCCGCGCTGCGCGGATTCCCATGGATTCCGTGGTCTTGTCCGCCGGGCTTACATAAGGTATCCTGCACAGATGGTGATTGGTCGAAAACCCTGGCCCCGTGGTGGTAGGGCGATTTTATAGTTCGGACTGAATCACGAACTCTTTCATGAACCTTCCTTTGTTCACCGTTCCATCACGAGCATGAGGCTGTCTTCAACGGTCATGAACAGCTAGCGGTGCTGGTGCGTCAATCGAACGCAGCTTGAGAGAAATAAAGCGAGCCGGAGAAGTCGCCCACGGTCTGCTTCTTCTCCAACTACTCAATGAGGACAAGTGCATATGGCGCTGGCTGTTCTGCCATCAATGAGGAGTCTGTGTATTCTTCCTTACATGGGAATATACTTGCTTACGTGGGAGTATACTTGCATCTGCTCTATGTATACTTTGGACTCTATGACACTCTAAGCGTCTTTCTCACCAATAATGCACATAGTCCTTACGCAGGGCTGCGATTGAAGGATTCTCATACATAGCCCTAGATCGCTGAGCTAGCAATGATTGACAGACGATCGGTCCCAGAAAAATCAGGCACAGATATCGATTTCCAGCACGCCATCTGACTGTCTATGTACTGGACTCAAAGTGGACTGTTACACGCCGAAAGGGGTATCATCCTCCCCAGGTCCACGAACTAAGCAATACTCGAAACGAAATCATGACAATTAGAATACCCTCCAAGAATGCCGCTCGGCGGGTTATTTCATCATTGTCAGAGCGTGATTTGTCTAATCACTTGCCATTGAAGTGGCCTTCTCTCAATGACATCGATTTTCGATTCCAGAAAGCCTCGGCCTATGACGCTTTCCTTACGAAAACCAATATAAATGTGACACACTCTCAGACATAAAAGGCATAATCATAGAATATTTCACGAGCATCTCGTCTCCATCTAAGCTTCCACGGATACCCATGTCTTTCTCAATGATCCAAGCCCCTCTATCGCCTCCCCTTGGGCATATGCTCACTCTACCCTTCTCCCAGGTCCGGAGTCCACCCAAGCCAACGCAGGCGACAAGAGAATACGAGCAAGCCTCGTCTCTAAAAACGAGCGACAGCAAGCAAACGCATTGCCTGCCCAGTAGCCATGAGTCGATGCAGAAAGAACAGTCTGACTCTAGGTCCGTCGCCGACCTGGTAGCTGCGCGGGCTCGGTGCCAACGTGCATGTCGCCGTTTCAATAATGCGGGCGAAGTCTCTCGACGGCAAATGCTGGAGCTCTGGAAAGAGTAAGTACCAACGGGCTGCCAGACACATCTTATCTCTAGCTCGCGACGATCCGATCGCTTGTCATCCAAGCCTTGCTAATAACAACAGCATCCTGAACGACCAGACCTCTCTCCCTCCACCTCAAGAGGACCCCCTGGACGATGACATCCAGCTAGAACATTACCCTTGGATTGAACCTCCATTTCGAACCGACTATGGACACAATTTGAAAGTGGGCGAGGGCGCCTTTATCAACTTCGATGCAGTCATCATTGACACCAGTCCAATAACCATCGGGGCGCGCACGTTGATTGGCCCTCGGGCCAGTCTGTACAGCGGCACGCATCCGTTAGACCCAGTTGAGCGGAATGGCTTCAAGGGTCCTCAGATCGGAAAAGAAATCCACATTGGAGAGGACTGCTGGCTAGCAGGCAACGTGACGGTATTGCCTGGAGTGACTATAGGGAAGGGGTCAGTTATTGGAGCTGGCAGTGTGGTCAACAAGGTGAGTTCTTGCAGGGATTAATGAGATTGAAGAGGCCGAACAATGCTGACGCAAGCTGATCGTAGGATGTGCCTGCTTTTCACTTGGCTGTCGGCAATCCAGCGAGAGTAATTCGCAAAATTGAGACCGCCATGAGCGAGTGAACCTGCTTCACATTGTGATTGTTTCCAGACTGTAAATTGTTATTAGTGTGATATAGGATCTTACGGTCATTGCCGAGAATGTCGATAGCTGGAACGAGGATTATGCGTACTACAGAAATTGCCACTGCCAGTGGATGACTAGACAATGCATACTGAGGAGTAGACTAAACAGTACAAGCATTCTTTGGGATTGAGCGGGGGATATGATACGTTTCGCGACGATCGACGGTCTGGTGGGGACTACCGGTTAAATGGTCTTTCTCCGGGACCATGCAGCAAGCGAGGCGATAGACTACGTAAGTACGGAGTATTAAAATAGTCTAGGGAAGAGGGGGCTGAAGCTACCCCGCGCTAAGGGTCGAGGAGTCAAGTGGAGTCAGTTAACTTATGGATTCAATTTAAGCTTCACGGGGGCTTTTTAGCTGTGCCTGACCTGTGAGCGAGCTGTGTCAAGTGTGTTGGCCCTAGAACTGCATCGCCCCTAGCCTAGAATCGAATGGTTTCTTTCCTGTGGACTCTCTCTGCATGACACATTCAGTCTATTACGCTTGTCTTCAGGCCGATTAATGACAGGGATTGGCATTCCTAGATGTGCTGAAGAGGTCTTCGTCGTAGAAAAAGATAGTTTGATGGAGACAGAATGACAACAAATATTTCATCGTCACTTTCCGGAGGAAGTTTGGGGGTTTGGGGAGGGGTTGGTGCATGACGAGAAAATGATTTAATAGCCTGAGGTTTTTGGGATCAGGGGCCTTCCACTAGGTTTCCTACATACATAGTAAAATCCTACATTCAGTAGAAGCAGGACCTTAGCATGGCTAATACTGAAATAATCCAGTATGTAGTGATGTGTTCATTATCTGGTCAAGATGGTTCTCCTCCGAATTGATCAGTAGTGATGATCGTATCAAAAAAACCCAGAAAATAAATAATGTCAACTGGCGGGACTGCCGTTGGCCAGAACTCTTCCTTCCCCTCCCCTCCTCTCAACCCGCCAAATCGCGGCTCCACAGCAACGTCAGAGCTGCACTTCTTCCCTTCCGCCTTTCACTTCCTCCAGTCTGCATTCACCATTCAACTTGTCGCATTTCCCTTGTCTTGTTATTCAACCTACCTACTTACCTATACACTACCTACGCTTCTCCCTTTCCCCCCCCCCCCCTATCTCTCTCTCTCTCCCTTCCCATCTTACTTCCGGTTCTTCGAAAAGAAAAAGCAGTCGCCCGTTCCTTTGTGGCTTGAATGGGTAAACTGAATCAGCTACTTAACTGATAGCTGCCTGCTTTCCATCCTCCCTCCGATTCAAAGAACAAAGTTGGTTCCTCGTTTTATTCCGCTTCTCTAATCTGCACCAACTAAGCTCAATCTTACCTTACTTCCCTATCCACTTCCTTCAGTGCTCATATTCTACGGAGTCTCTTCAACCATACCATAATCTTATCAGCTTCCTCATCTTTCCTCGCAACCTCTCGATCGTCTTTACTACACTACCTCCCACCCCCACCTTACTTTACCTTTCCCCCCTTTCACCAAGCTAAGAAAAATGCTATGGCAGCTGCCCCGCTAGAGACCTCTAGCACCCCGCCCGACACTACCCCAGCCGATACGACGCGTTCCTTTGGTGATTCCATGGAAGATAACGACCCTCAATCTACGCGAAAACGTCCCCGTCTTGACAGTGGAAGTGGAGCATGTGATTCCTGGTCCATTTCCAACGACACTTCCGTATCTCAAGGTCCCAACCACATCACCGATGCTCCTGCCATTTTGGGCGAGGAAGCTTCCCCGTCGTCTCGTTCGGCCAGTCGAGTGACCATTAACGTGAAGTCCCCGATTTCCGAAACCATGGCTTCTGCTCCTAGCGATTCGCCGACAAAACAGGCCGGTCCCAGCCAGCCAACTGCTCTTTCCGATGGGGCCGGTGTCGAAGCTCCCGCCGCAATATCCCTGTCGTCTTCGCCTGCGCAGAGTCCGGAAATCGAGGTGGCAGATCTGGAAGATATGGACCAGGATCCCAATACGTCGAGTTGGAAGCCGCTAGGGGAGGCACTGCGGGAACCGGCAACCCCGGAGCTTGTACAGCTTCACGACCATCTGTCTTTGATAGACACATTTCCGAAGCTTCGTCCGGGAACGGAGTCGCGCGAGAGCATGGAAGAAATCAGTGTTGCCCTGGAGAAAGGTACGGCTCTCGCCTAGGCGTAAGTGGGAAAGAAACACAAACTGAACTCGTCTGCAGGCTCGGACCTCGATACCACAATCTTCAACGCTGTGAAAACGTGGCTAGACGATGTGGTGAACAACCTCAATTCGTTAACATATGCAGTCTTGGTAGAGGACCGCGACGCTTGGGAAGAGGTACCAAGCATGATGAATGGCTTGTTACGCCGGATGTGAGTAGACCCTCCTATACTCGTGATTCCTCAGGACGGCCGAACACGACCTTAGATAGGCACTAATACCTGTGCAGTCAGGTGCTCGTACCGGAGCAAGGCGAGGCCCTGTGGGCTTGCTTGGAAGAATTCATCCTCAGCTATGCCCAGCTGGCCCTCCACATTGTTCGTCTCGATACCTTGCTTCTGGACCGGGCGGTCAAGGACCCGAATCTGCAGCCATCAGAACTGTTGTCCAAAGGTTATTTGCCGTCGCTAGGATGGATACTGCAGATCAATCTTATCCCTTTCTTCCGTGCTATGGAGAAATCCTTTGGCATTGAAGTCCCTAATATGATCACACGTATCAACGATAAACTCGCCTCGCCTCCATATGACATCGTTAAGCGACTGTCCGAGTTCGCGGCTTGCCTCACGAGCTTGGTAACTCAGTGGCCATACTTGTCACAGGCCTTGATCTTAGTCCTCGACATCGTGAATAACCTAGTAGAGTCGGGCGTCGAGCGACGCAAGTACGGTGTTGACGAAGAACTTCTCAATTCTCCCGTCTACAGCCGTACCCTCAAGGCGCTCTACCCCTTGGTTCGAGCTTTTGACGACAAGTATCAATTTCACATCACCAAGAAGTCTTCGTGGTTGTCCAGCGAAATCAGCGAACCAATGCTTCGCGCTGTCTCCCACACATATCTTAACTTCTGCCTTTGGAGCCGAGAATGGTCGGACCAGATTGCGGATGATCTCTCCATCCAGATTCCTGCTGACATCCCACCTGATATCTCACTTGAAGCTCGGGCTTTCGTTGTCTATTATGGTTGGAAATTCGCTGTGCTGAAGAAGCATATCATGGACGGGCGGATGGAACTCAGAGTGCACGGCATGGAGACGATGCAGCTCGATCTTGTCACTGTCTATCGGCAGTATATTCAGCCAAGCCCCGATGGTATCGATCACCCAGTTGTTCAATACCTGGTGGACTTCCTGAAGCGGAATCGTATGGTGGAATATATTGTTGGCATCGATTCGCACCCGCAGCTGATCAGCCGAAGTGGGAACGTCGTCGGATTTTTGGTGGTCACGTCCACGTATACCGACGCTGATACCGACACGATATGGAGGACGGTAACGGAGAGCCCGGATTCACGAGCGGTGTCCGAAATCTTGGGAATGTTGTCCAGAACTTTTCATATGCACGTATCTACGTCGCCTACATTGCTTTACCTTTGCTCTAAGCTGTTGGAACTCCCGTTGGCTCGCTTCGATGCGCGAATGATCGAATTCTGTGAACAGTTGCTCTACCATATGCGCGAGAAACACAGTGAACGGCATCGCCACGAGCTCCTAGGACATGTGGACGCTATTCCGCTACGTCTTTGTGTGCGCCTCATTCGGGAGAGCGCTGCTACTGACGAGCTGTCCGTGGACCACAAGGCCCAGCTCCAAAAGTTTGCGGCCCACCAACTCAGTGCTTTTATGGATATTGGTCTGAGTGAGTCCGACAAAATGGAAACCTACGAGCTTTGCGTCCAAGACTTAGCCGAGATGAACGAATTTACAGCTGGCAGTATTCAGGCCTTGAATGCTCTTCTCGCGAATAATGACACTCAAAGCGTCCGCAAGCTCGCCGAGGATTTCGATTTGACGCGCTTGGTGATAATCGAGCTTACGAAAGCAGTGGCCAACCAACAAATCGATATCGAAGATACTTTCTCTTGGAATGGGTTTCTTTCGCGCATACACCTACTGGCTCGCATCATCGATAGTGTCCCTGAGTTTATAACAGCAGATCTGAGCGATATCCTGTGGCGTGAGGTCATGATGTCAAAGTCGCTCGTGCAGCAGGGCAGACGAGTCCTCTGGGACAGGCTCTGTGCTCTAACACGATGTGCCGCACAAGCGAACCCTTTCATCGAGCGATGCCTCTCCGAGTATCTGCCAAAGCTTTCGCCTGATGAGGACTATTCGCCGGAGGTCCTTTACTTCGCAAAACATGCAGTCAACTATGAGATTCGCTTCCATCCTCCTCCAGTTGCTGGCGAGAATGAAGTCGTGACCATTCCAGGTATGGAGCGAATCTGGAACATGATTTTGACTGCACCACCTGGTACCATTGAAACAGACGCAACTAGCTACGCCATTGAAGTGTACCTTGATCATAGCGTGATCAATCGCTCCCCTCGCTCTGCAGTTGAAGCAACTCATATTGCGCTGGTCGATCGCTGCGTCGAACAGCTCAAAACAGCTGCTTCTAATCTGCGCCCTGCACTTGCACACAGTGACCGGCCCACGGGCACCGCATCTGAGTCTAGTGTCCACCCGGAAGAGCTAAGATTCAGTCGTTCCTTGCTTTTCCTGCGCCAATTCCTTCAGGGTTTGAGAAGCCGCCCTCAGTATAGCCCTCCTCAGAACTCAGCATCCCTCGATCTGCCAACTAAAGTCATCAATGGTGAATTGATCAATATTCGCTATCAAGCTTTCAACGGTGGTACCCAAACCAAGGTAAACTCATTGCAGATTGGGGATCTATCAACCGCTGCGGAGCTCGTTGAAACTCTAGTCCGTGTGACAGGTTTCAGCAAGCTGAACACTATATTTGGAGGCCAGCGGGTTGATCTTTCTGAGAAGCCCGACATCACCTTGCGGGATTTGAAGCTTGGAACTGGCCTCCTGATCGTTCGTCGGGATCCAGAAAGTCGAGAAGTAGCACTTACTGGACGACGCCAGTCTTTGACTTCGGTAGATTCTGAAGTGCTCAAGCATTTCGATGATCTCTATGATCTTCTGGGTATAGAGGAACATCTAGCACGAGAAGTAGGTGTTGTGTTCAAGATATAGCTAGCGTCGGCTCTGACTGAATTCTCGTCACAGATTTATGACTTCCTTACCGTGTTTCCGCCGCAGGAGAGAGTTTTACAGCTGGTGAAGTCCATTGAGAAGACTGAAGACGACATGTTTCCTATGGACAAACCCTACTACTTTTTATACTCGGTCCATGCGCTTTCTGTATGTCTTCGCGAGGAGGCTTTGGAGGTGAGGCGGGCAATCGTTCCTTGTTATTATCTGGACGCTACTAAATATGCTTCACAGTCATCCCCGAATCAAAGCTATGTGTCTCATAGCATCAAAGTCCTCATTTCCGCATTGACACGTCCTGCTATGTCCGTTGCTTTGGAAGAAAGTGCTACAAAGCTGATGTTTGCCACGCATCTCGTCGAATGCCTACTCTACGCTCTCTTAGTGCAACCGGCTCGTGTTTCTGATACACCATTGGATACACCATTGATCTCAGATCCATCAGCGTTATCCCGGAAACTTCTTGAGTGCATAGACGTTGCGCGAAGATTGCCATGCTTTCAAATTCCAGAACCTAGTGTCTTCAAGCTAATATGCCACTCCTTCGCCATCATCACTGAAGGTTCTGTACGTGACCTCAACTTCTGGAGCGCAGTCAAACAGTGCACAGGGTTCGACACGCTTCTGGTGTCGCTCTTGTTGGACGAACCTCGTCAGCCCATTCGGAAGGGCATTGCAGAGAATATAGCTGTTGTCTGTAGTCCTTCATCGCTGCTGAAGAAGCAGGCCAGGCCTGCACGCACAGAAAGTGAAGAGGCGAATGTCGCTTCAGACTTTGGGAATCCTATCCGTGTGGACATCTTAGCTACGATCTGGGATGCTTTCACCAAGGCCTTTCCGAAGACCCTGGATCATGCGCCTTACTCCCACGAGTTCTTCGAGGTTGCCTTCCTGGTTTTCCGCTCCGTCGCTGAAAAATCGCCGCAAGATTTGGTGTTCAGCCAGTATCTCAAGGACTGGAGTCAGATTATGCTACGTCATGAAACCGAAGAGTTTGTCGGTCGCGAGCTTGTGGACGACCTGATTTTGGGTTTCTGTCGCCTGCTGAAAACATGCCTCGATCTGGCGAACAACACGGAGACCGCGATAGACACTTTCGATCTTGCTGAGCAACTTTTCGACAAGTATCTCTTTCCTGACCTATCGTTGCCGTCAGATGACCCGATTGTCCCTCAGATCCCAGTCATGCACACACAAACCCGCCAGGAGTTGTATTCTATCCTTTGTCAGCTCAGCGAGATCGACAACAATTATGCTAAATTGGTGGATCGTCTCCTAGATGTCATCCCGCAGGATTACACCTACTCTCCTTCGTGGTGCTTCGATCGCTTCAAGCTGATTCGCTCGCCGGAGGGCTATGCAGGACTCAAGAACTTGTCCAATACTTGTTACTTGAACTCTCTCCTTACCCAATTGTTCATGAATGTGGGTTTCCGTGAATTCATGATGCAGCTCGAGCTCGAGGATCCAGAGACCTCACAGACCTTGCTTGATGAGACGAAGAAGTTGTTCGCATACATGCAAGAGACGTGGCAAAAGAGTGTCGACTCACAGGGATTCGTTGATACCATCCGCACTTACGACAACGAAGCGATCGATGTTACCGTTCAGATGGACGTCGACGAGTTTTACAACCTGTTATTTGATCGATGGGAGGCTCAAATCCCGGGCCAGGAAGAGAAAAAGAAATTCCGCTCGTTTTACGGCGGTCAGCTCGTGCAGCAGATAAAGTCCAAGGAATGTCCCCATATTTCCGAGCGTCTCGAGCCATTCTCAGCCATCCAGTGCGAGATCAAGGGCAAAGCAAGCCTTGAAGAGAGCTTGCAAGCCTACGTCGAGGGAGAAATTATGCAGGGTGATAACAAATACTCTTGTACATCCTGTGGTCGTCATGTCGACGCAGTCAAACGAGCTTGTCTGAAAGATGTACCTGACAACCTCATCTTTCATTTAAAGCGCTTTGACTTTGACATGGTGACAATGATGCGAAGCAAGATCAACGACGAGTTTAAATTCCCTGAGCGCATCGACATGAGTCCTTACAATGTCGAGTATCTTGCCGATCAGAGCACGGATATCAAAGAGGATATGTTCGAACTGGTAGGGGTTCTGGTACACAGCGGCACTGCCGAGTCTGGGCATTATTACTCTTTCATCCGTGAGCGGCCCACGGCCGACAACAGGGGGTCATGGGTCGAATTCAATGATTCAGACGTCACGCGGTTTGATCACGGCAAAATCCCAGATCAATGCTTTGGCGGCATCAATGACTCTCTTGGATCTTCTTCGATGGGTCAAATGCGGTTCAACAAGGCTTGGAACGCTTACATGCTTTTCTATCAACGCGTTTCGAGTATGGAATCAGCAAAATTGACATATAAGCCTACAAGACCCCATCATTCAGTACGGGTTCAATTGCCAATCCCTCTTGCAAATCACATCACCATGGAGAACGAACTATTTATACGGACATACTGTTTGTTGGATCCTTACCACTCGTTCTTTGTCCGGTTTATGCTCTCCTTGCTCCGTGACTCCGAGGACCCTAGGCGTGAGGAGAGGTTGAAATTGGACAGGCAGGTGATCACCATTGCTCTGGATACCTTCGAACAATTGTTATCCCGAACTAGAGAGCTTTCTCATCTCGATACATTTGTAGGTGAGATACTGAAAGTCATCGATGATAGTCCGCGAGCCGCTTTCAGGGTCATGCAATGGCTCGTGGAAAGGCCGTCGGCGGTCCGCAATCTGATCCTGAAGAGCCCTCATGTGGCTGTCCGGAACAGCACGGTAAGGGTAATTATCTGTGCACTCTCGAAACTCCAAGAAGCTCACCGAAGAGCCGACGATGGGAGCAAAGAAGAGGAGAGATGGTTGAATAGATATTTGGACGCCTTTGAATCATTGGTAAACACCCTGGACGATCTCTGGACCATGATTCATACGGTGGGCAGGTCCTGGGATGACTACTTCGAGCTCCTACTTCTTCTCGTCAGCTTTGGCGGTGACGAGGCTGGAATAGTCCTCAACAGCGGGTTTCTGCAGAAATGCCTGGAGCTCGTGTGGCTTGACCACGAGGACCTGAAGCGCCTTCGCCGCCATTATCTGGCATACTGTAAGCTGTTGGAGAAAGGCCGAAGGTTCTCGCATCGGAAGATGATGGATCTTCTGGCGGCGCTACTGGAACATGTTAACCTCACCGTGCCGCCAAATCCAGACGATCGACGGCGGATATTGTCAGACGGCAGGTACACTCTCACCATCACGGAGAGTGGTCTCGTGCGACCATTGGGGATGAAACAGGAATTACTGGTTCTTCAAAAGGTTCTCCAGCAGTACAGCAGTCCTCAGGCTTGCAGAAGAATAGTTGGTGTGTTTATTGATGCGGAGCCCGACGCAGGCCTTCTCGACCCCATCTGCAGAATGTTGGAAGAAGGGCTGAGGCTCTCCCCTGCAGAAACTTGTACTCCCTTCTTGGAGGCAACATTGGTTTTCTGCCGTCAGAGTCCCGACAAAGACCGGGTCGCTGGTTTGATTGAGTTTGTGTCGAAAGGGATTGAGACCATCAACAACAGCGGAGGGAAAGAACATCTCACCTTCTTCACGAGCGTCATGACCAGCAAAAATGAGCGTATCGGACTTGATGAGACTTGGTTTCTGAAACAACTCATTGACAATATTCCGGACTGGGCCCCTACATTGCTTATTTACCCTGAAAGGGCTGTGAGAAACATGACCCTGGAAGTTTTACGCCAGACCTTGTTCAGTGTTCAAGATGGGGTGGGTGAGAATTGGGAAACGCATCAGGCAGAGGTCGCCAAGCAGCTGGTGGCTGCAAGCCTTGAGAGACTTCACAAGCTGTGTCAGCATGCATCCAGCACTGGCGTTGACACTAAAAGTCTTGACTGCGTTCGGACGGTTATCGACCACTGCCTTACCACATACTTCGATCCTAGCGACGAGGACCAAGAAGAAGTCCGTCGCGCACATGGTGTGTCCAATCCCGCGGTATAAAATTGAATGACATTGCTGACGCTGACTGTCTAGAATCCATTGCATCATTAGAGGAGGTGTTAGCGGGCCTGCCTGAGGAGGTAGCTTCGGGTAAGTGGCCATTTTTCATTAGCCCTCCATGTCATCGTCTAACACTAGCACCGCTCAGAATCTGATGCATTGTCTGCAGAAGAATGGGAGGACAACTCCGTTATGGCAAGCGATTCCGAGATGGGACCGGTAGCCTCTCCCTGAGTCCCATGTCTCTCCGGCTTCCAAAGAATTTGATGTACCACATATGAGAGACGAATTTACGGTCAACCTTCTTTTGTGTGCTTGTTGTGCTCTTTGCATCTACGGCGTTCCCTTCCAGCTGAGCTTGGCTCAATTAGACACGGGGCGTTTTCTCGTTTTCTCGTTTTTTAAACTGTTCTGGCTAATGCTGCTTCGATGGCTGGATGGTTGGGTGGGAGAGGGTGTTTCTGCTGCTGTCCATGGTCTGTGTCTGCTTTAGCCGGTTTTCAATAGTGCTTTTGCTCTTCACTCCTTCTGTGTTGTGTGTTGTTCGAGAGTAAGATGGCTCTGCTTTACTCCGTGTGATGATTCTTGTAGGGGTTGTCTGTTCGCTATCTACCTGATCATCGAACGCAATGACAGTTTGATGACCATGAATTTGCGCAAGTCTTTCACGCGTAGGTACTGCAGGTTGTATTCTGAGCATACGTGCCCTACGTGTAAAAGAAGTGGAGTTTCTCGGAGGCAGAAGCATGCGGACAGTGTCGCAATACGTATCAGAGATGGCATGGTTAAGATCCCATGCACCTATCACAGAACCCTAGATTTAGATAGTAAGAGTTGTCTTCTAGACAAAATCGAACCATCATCATCAACTCGTAACTTTCTTGTCACCTCTCTGACTCCACTAGTGATTGCAAGAATTATTTTTTTTTCTTCTTTCTAAACTATCCAGCTAGGCGCCAGCACCTATGCAAGAAACATCCAGTTCTGCAGATAAAGGAGGGGAGGGGAAGAGAGGGAGGACTCGCTATAATAGACTCAGCCGGGGGGAGAAAGGGCTATGGTGAACACGATTGAAGAGAGCGGAAGATAGAAAGAAGAACAGGGAACAAAGACCATCACCATTACCATTACCAAAGGCTAATGGAGCGGGAAGAGGAGGGAGGGGGAACCGGATACGTATGAGCCTACACATCCTCAAACTCCTCGTCGTCCTCATCCTCGTCGGACTCCTCCTTTTTGATGTCGGGCTCGACCTTGACTTTCTTTGCGGCGGGACCAACACCACCGCCGCCGCCGCCGTCATCCGTGGCCGGCGAGGCGACGGAGGTCTGGGTGGCGCTGGCGAAGCTCGAATCCGTGTCGAGCTCGCGTTTGATTCCTGCTGTTGTGGTGGTGGTGGTGGAAGACTTGGGCGCGCTGGTGGGGCCGACGCTACCAGCACCACCGGCACCACCGGCAACGGCGGGCGAGGCGGCGCTGGTGGTCTCGCTGGCGGAGACGCCGCCGACGTCTTCGAACTCCTCGTCGAATTCATCGTCGTCCTCGTCGTCATCGTCTTCCTCGCTGCTGGCGTCCTGCTGGGCCTGCAGGGCCTTCTCGCGCTCCATCTCGGCGTAGTAGGCGGCGACCTTATCGTCCAGGCCGTCGACGTCGGGCTTGCGGTCCTCGTCCTCGTCCTTGATGATGGGTTTGCTGTCGCCGTCCTCGTTCTCGGCCTTGACGAGCGGCAGGTTACCGGCGGCGGTGGAGACGGTGGAGTGGGTGTGCCAGACGGGGAGGGCGTTCTGCTTCTCGACGGCGGCCTTGCGGGCGGCCTCGGCGGCCTGCTCGGCGGCGCTCTTCTCCTCGCTGGAGGTCAGCGAGATCTCGAGGGCGGTGGCGTCGGTCTTGGTGTTGCCGCGGACGGACTCCGGGCCGTTCTTGGAGGGGACGACGACGGAGGCCCGCGTGGGGTTGGTCTGCTGGTTGCGGACGACGTCGACCTTGTGGTCCCAGGCGGTGTCGAAGTCGTTGGGCGGCACCTCGACCGAGTCGATCTGCTTCAGCAGCTTCAGCATCGGGTCCAGCTGGTTCATCAGCTTGCTGTTCTTCTCGTGGCCCGTCCGGTCGATCCCCTCCGTCCCCTTCACGTCCTCCGTCCGCTCCAGGATCGCCCCGCAGTTCTGGCACTCGAACCCCTCCTCCGAGTACAGGCTCAGCACGTCCAGCTCCGTCCACTCCGCCCCGCACCGCAGGCACACGTACTCCTTGCGCTCCTCGCTGGGCGTGTACTGCGCCTTGATCGTCGACGTTAGCTTCGACACCTTGTACTTGATCGCGTCCACCACCGGGTGCAGCGGGATGTAGTAGTATTCCCGGTTGACGGGGCGGGTCGAGCCGTCGCGGATTTCGGCGCGCGTGCTCCTGCATGGGGTTTGATTGGGGTTAGCGGGTTGAGATTTCCCAGTCGGTGGGGTGGGAGAAATGGGATGTTGTGTGCGCTATAGAACTGGTAGACATACACCGAGATCAGCCGGTCCTCACGCAACTTGGCGCATAACTTGCGGAGGTCTTTCTGTTGCATGCCGAGCAGGAAGGCGAGGTCTTCTGCGTGGAGACTTTTTTTTTCCCTCACAGATTCGTGATCAGTCCTTGTTAAATTTGGCATGAGAGTGAGCTTGGTGCTGCATACACTGAGTGGATGAAGAGCGCATCCACCACGAGGATGTGGCGGGTCTCGTAGAAGGCGCGGACCACGCTTCGGATGAGCGTGTTGGCGAGATCCATCGTGTGAGCGTTTGGCGTGACGGAGGGAGGCTCTGTTCAGGTGAATTTGCAGGGATGGAAGGCCGTCGATCGAGTGTTGGGATGTGGTGGGGATTGGCGCAAAGTGCTGAGGGAGGGAGGGAGGGTATCCGGGCTTAGGCGCGGGTTCGAAGGGTGAGTTGGAGCGAGATGGACATGCTTCTCTTTTTTTGTCGGGGAGATGTAGACTCGAGGGTTAAAAGATAGAGAGTGGAGGAGAATGGGCGCCGGAGGAGTAGATACACCACCAAAGGAAGAAAGAAAAGACAGTGGGTGGTGAGGTGGAAATGGAGTCAAAGAAAGCGGAGGAAGGATGCTAAGGAAGAATGCTAGATCCTATGCCTGAGGCACCAACTGGCTAGCCTTCCTCCGGATCAATCAAGACTAAGACTGGCTGGGCCCAAGAAATCCCCCTCCGGAGCGCAAGAAAAGCCCGCCATGATAATTTCCTCTCCATCGCCAATGCAACAACTACTCCTCCTCCTCCACCACCACCTCCGCCCCCGCCATTCTACACTCGGGCTTTTTCCCAAATCCCCGAGTCTTTCCTGTCGTCCTCGCTCCCCCGCCGCGCTTCAACGCTTCATCCCCATCCCCAAACCCCCCAGCAGCCAGCAACAAGTCCGCTTCGAAAGTCGCAGATATCGCAATCACGTCCAAGAGTTCCAACAATGGACAATCACGAAGGAAGATCTACACAGGGATCCGGTGACGCTCGCGAAAATCGTAAAAAAAGGAATCTGGGCCGTTCGGAGTGGAGGTATGTTCTTCTTTCTTGTTCGGAGAAATCCTTGTGGGGGAGGGGGATCGCGGCCGCGAACCTTTTGTCGAGCTGACACTTTCATCCACCCAAGCCAGTCGGCAAACGATAGATAAACGCGCTCGCAACGAAGAGGAGCAGGAGGTCAAGCGCCAGAAACTCGAGAATGGCGAGGAGGTGCAGGCGCCCGTCTACGCGACGCAATTCTCCCAGGAGGATATCGAGAATGAGCAACGGCGGCCGAAGAAGAAGGTTGCGGTGTTGATGGGATATTCCGGCACGGGGTACAAGGGCATGCAACTGTAAGGATTCACGCCGTGGAATCAGGGGAAAATCTCTCGAAAGGGAGGAACTACCAGCTAATGCGCTTTCGTTTCGCCAAAAGGAGCACCACCGAAAAGACCATCGAGGGCGAACTGTTCACGGCCCTGGTCGCCGCGGGCGCCATCTCCAAGGCCAACGCCACGGATCCGAAGAAGTCGTCGCTGGTGCGCTGCGCGCGCACCGACAAGGGCGTGCACGCCGCCGGCAACATCGTGTCGCTGAAGCTGATCGTCGAGGACCCGGACATCATCCAGAAGATCAACGAGAAGCTGAGCCCGCAGATCCGCGTCTGGGACATCCTCGTCACCAACAAGTCGTTCAGCAGCTACCAGCTGTGCGACTCGCGCATCTACGAGTACCTGATCCCCACGCACTGCTTCCTGCCGCCCCACCCGGGCACCTTCCTGGGCAAGCAGCTGGTCGAGTTCGCCGAGCAAGAGAACGACATGGAGGGCTACCGCGCGCGCCAGGAGGAAGTCGCCGGGTTCTGGGAGGAAACCGACGAGACGATCATCCGGCCGATCCTCGAGAACACGCCCGAGGAGATCCGCAAGCTCGTCGAGCAAGCCCTGCACATGAACGATGACCAAGACCCGGAACAACCGCCCCCTGCCCAAGACCAACCGCCCACCGAGCCCTCGGGCGAACCCACCCCACCAACACCCGAAGACGAAGCCCGCCGCCAACAGATCATCAGCGCGGTCAAGACCATCAAACAAGCCTACCTGAAAGCCAAGCGGGCGTATCGGATCTCGCCCACCCGGCTCGCGCGCGTCCAGGCGGCGCTGTCGCAGTACGTCGGCACGAACAACTTCTGGAACTACACGATCCAGAAGACGCACAAGGACCCGTCCTCGAAGCGGCACATCAAATCCTTCAACGTCTCGGCCTCGTCCCCGCTCCTCATCAACGGCACCGAGTGGCTCAGCCTCAAGGTCCACGGCCAGAGCTTCATGATGCACCAGATCCGCAAGATGGTCGCCCTGGCCGCCATGGCCGTGCGCGCCGGCGCCGACCCCGCCCGCCTCATCCCGGCCTCCTACGGCCCCACCAAGATCGCCATCCCCAAGGCCCCCGGCCTGGGCCTGCTCCTCGAGCGGCCCGTCTTCGACGTCTACAACAAGAAGGCCGTCGAGACCAGCAAGCAGCCCATCAACTTCGACAACTACAAGGCCACCATCGACGAGTTCAAGCAGCGCGAGATCTACGACCGCATCTTCCGCGAGGAGGAGGAGACCAATGCGTATGTTTTTGCCTTGCCCTTGCCCTTGCCCTACCTTGCCTGAAACCTTCCCCCGAAACAATAGTGGGAACTTCCACAGCTAACCTGCAGCAACACAGATTCTCCGCTTTCTTCGGCCACCTCGATCACTACTCCTCCAAGGAATTCCTCTACGTCACCTCCGGCGGGATCCCCGCCGCCAAGATCACGCCCGTCCCCGGCGCCGTCGAGGAGGGCACGGCCACGGATGCGAATGCGCTGAAGCAATCGCAGAAGGACGCCCTGGCGCAGATCGAGGATGAGTCCGAGGATGAGGAGGGGGCGACTAAGGCGAATATCGATCAGAGTGGTTGATTTGGGTGTCTTACCCCCCCCTTGCTTGGGGCTTGAAGGATCTGGGGAGTAAAATGTAGATGCTTGCTAAAGACCATAAAGAATGAATGAAATATTAGATATAAATATATGTTTGGTGTGTGTGTGTGTGTGTGTGTGCTTGTTGACTTGGGTTCTGGAGTTGGTGGTCTGTACAGAACGTAATTGATGCCCGGAGCCCATTCTACAGTACTATCATAGAGCGCAGAACTACTGTACAGTACATATAACAAACACCGTGGAATCGCGCATCGGACATATCACCCAGGCATGAGCAACTTCTTCTCTACAGGTTTTACAGAGGGAACAAAAACACAACAACCACACTCAAGAGAACAATATATTACCGCATTATGATACATGAAAAGATCAAGATCCATTATGAACTTGTGAAGGAAAGACGCTATGTATCAAGTACGGCACCGCAACATCAAAAGAAACAAAAACTACAACGCTGAATGCACAAGGAGATTTTCAGAGGGGCAAAGGCTATTCAACAAGAAGCAGAAAATGCAGCAGCGCAGGCTTTGGACTCCGACACCAGGACGAGAGAAAAAAACAAGAAGAACGACAATGAATAAACAAGCAGATTTGAAGGGGACAGATCGCGAGAATACACAACAAAAATGCAGAAGGTACAAGCTGAGCAGCGCAACTGCCACTGCTCCGACCACTCACTCACGCACGCGTCTAGAACATCAAGGACCGGGTCTTCTGTCGTCGAGCATCCGCACCGCGAACGTCCGGCTGAGATTGAGTGTGCTTGTGTCGAGGTTTGGAGGCCGAGGTCGGCGCCGGCGCCGTCGGCATCGGAATGGATGAGGTGGGTTTGGCAGGAGGCGGGGGAGGAATTTGGCTGAGGCGATGTTCGACCGCAGAAGGAACAGGAAGAGCAGGAGCAGTGGGCACGGCAGGAGTGGAAGCAGCAGGGGCAGCAGCGGTGGACTCCCGTTTCACTTTCATACTCCGCTCTCGCTTAAGGACCATCTCGGTCCAGAGCTTGGCTTGGCTGCTTCCTGAAGATCCTTTGCCCACCGCATCGGCCAGGACCTTCATCCATCCGTCCTTGTCGGCCGCGCTGTCGGCATAGAAATCAATCACTTCGCCGTTGCCGAAGCGGATACGGAACCCTTCCTCCACGAACATATAACCTTCCTCTTCCTCAGCAAACGCAGACTTGCGACGGCCACCACCCCGGGTGGTGGTCTCTTTCTGCATCAGCGAAGATCGGTCATCAATCAACTTGACTGCCTTTGAAAGGTTGATCGTGGCACGTGGTTGACGCGTGGTCTCGTGGTAGGCGGTCAATTTGGATCCCTGAAGCTTGAAGAAGCGACGGCGCCAGTACTATACGTGCCATCGACATCAGCAAAAGCCATAACGGGTGAGTGTCAACAGGGAACTTACCGGGCAGTCGCCACCCTGCTGTGACAAAAATCCCTCGTAACTACGAGCAGAGACGCTCTCCGCCTCACGCATTTCCCGAATGCAGGCGTTCATGCTCTTGGGCATATCCTCCTCCTTGGCACCCTTAGGCTTGGGGACAAACAACAGCTGGAGCTCCAGCTTGCCAATCTTGTAAGGAGGTCTTCGCTGAGAAGTCGTACTCGTCGTACTCTTCTTGCTCTTAACACTGCTCGGCTGCTCTTCAACTGCCCATTCATTGAAGCACGCGATATCAACATTGTAAGGCCGGCCATATGCGTGTTTCTCATGGTCACTGAGAGAGACATATGCGCGCGCAAAACTGCCATCTCTGGCAACCAAGGTCCTCAATCGTTCCCACACAGGGGCATTGATATCTTTGGCTTTGCTTTGCTGGGTGGCAAGTTGCTGCTTCATCTCAAGTTCCTTGCGCTTGCGCGGAGAAGCAAACACACGGCTAAACGTGGAAGTCTTGGTGCGACTAGGCGAGGCAGTAGGGGCAGGCTCCTGAACTCGGAACTTCTCCTCATCCACCTTCATTTGCAAGGTCAGCTGGAACTCAAGGTCCTGTTGGACAATGAGCTCGAACTCCTGGCCGATGGGCGCTGTCTTGCCTAGTTCCAACCAAGAGGTGGTGACGCAATGCAGGCCGTTGTCCAAAGTAAGAGCAAAGTACGATCTCTCACCTATAGTCTGGTTAGCGGCGAATGGACCACAGAACTGATCGCAGTTCCAAACACTTACCTCGTGGCAGAGGCAGATCGAGGTATTTCATGCCAATAACCTTGACAAAAAGACGGCCCCGCTCTTCACCCTCCTCAAGAGCGCCATTGAGAGCAGGCTCCGCCTCCTCGATCGTGGTTGACGGCTCCTGGACGCTGCTTTGCTGGCCTGGGAGCGGTGGGACCGGGCCAGACGCAGTCTTCTTTCGAACTACTCCACTGGCCGTTCTCATACTCGCCCGGCGAGTCTGACCGTTCCAGGGTACGGTAGTCCAAGTCTGCTGGCTGGCCTTACGCGGCGTGGGAGCAGCGCGTGTAGCTCGAGACTCAGCTGGATCTTCTCCTGGAGTCGGCACAGTGTCATCTTCGGTGCTGCTGCTCGCAATGATAACCTTGGTATTGTGCCGCATAAGATAACCTCTCTGTTTGGGGCGAT